ACTCTGCAAAGAGTTGGTGTTTGCAGGAAGGTGCCACATTTGCTATGGCAATGTATTTAATATACAGTCATAGAGCTGGGCATGATCTGTGTTAATGGGACTGTGCAAGCTACTGGGAGAGACTGACCCCTTTATGCATCAGTCCTAGGCATCAGCATTAGATCTATGTACCTGGGGAAGCAGCTTCTCTCAGCACTATGCTAGCACTAAAACTACTCCCTGGGCTCTTTGCTGTACGTGATTAAGTTTTCTCATTAAGCACTGAAGCTATTTTCTAGTCCTTAAGCTACAAGTCTCATATTCCACCACTATATTTGGCATCTCCCTGTGACCCAGCAAAGTCAGCTTTGCTCCAGGGGCAAGACTGCAAAACCCATCTTGGACAATTTGGCTGAAAATACTGAAATTGCCTGCCATGTGATAACAGTCAACCTGCCAGCATAGGTGTCTGTCTTTGCATGGCCAGAAAATACTGCTATGAGTGAGAGCCTGTATCTCACATTTCATTGTCTTTATCCTTAAGTTAAGGTTCTCTTAGTTTGTTGCAAGGTACTCTTTTGAAATTGTGATATTAATCTGCAGCAGCAGATCCCAGGTTGTTATCCCTGATCCACCTTGGTCACTGAGGCCCCAGTAAATTAGCTGTGAAATCTCACCTGCCTTGCCAGTGCCTCCAGTTAAAACCTCAGTGTGTTCAGGTAAGGAGAGCCTTTGCTTCATGTTCTTGAACACATGGAGTAACCTTTCTGTGGAGGAAAAAAAGCATCAAGCAGCTGTTTGGCAATGTGTGTTTGAAACTTGATCTTATTATTTATAAACTAGGGCTTAACCTTTTAAAATATTTATTATTATTATGTCTCAGCAGTAAAATAGCATCAAAGTTCTTGCAGATGTATTTTTTTCTTTGCATTTGGGTTTACCTCTCACTGCTTTAAAGAAAACTTGCTTATATTTGCTGTTCCAAGGTGTCATTTGTCTCACCAAAACAGCCAAACCCTGAAACATGAACTGGATTCTTTTCTGACTTGTGCTTTTAGTGTAAAAAAAAAAAAAAGTTAATCAGTGGCCTATCTTCAGAGAAAGCCTTGTAGGGACTGGCTCCAGATAATGGTATCACTTACACCTGTGCAATTGATCATATCAGAACTCCTTTCAGGCAACTCTGAATATCATTTGAGATCTGTGAGTTGAGACTGGAAGCAACACTTGGACCATGAAACACTATGTGTGTAAGGAAAACGTAGGTTCATCATCAAATTCCAAACCGAGATCACAGGAACTGACAGTAAATGGAGAAAAACAAAAAAACCCCAAACTTTTATTTGAAATAGAGGGGAAAACCTCTCAGAAGTCACTAAGGCACAGGCAAAGAACTGTCTTGCTTATAGTAGGACTGTAATTTAAGTCCTGAAGAGCTACATTTGGCTCCTTTAGCAAGATTACAAAGTAACTTATTAGAAACACAATGTATTGTAAAGTAGTTCTTGGAAGCCTCTGGATGGCCAAGCCTTCAAGGGTTTGTTACATGGTACACCAACCAAATGTACAAAGAAATAAAGTAATGATTGTGGAGAAGGATATATACTCCTAAACTCTCTGAAATCAGTTCCAATTCCCAGTTCTGTCTTTCGCCTGTTTTAGACAAAATTGGCTGTTAACCACAAGAGCGATGTACCTTGATCAAAATTAAACTCTGATTTTTGGTATGTGTCCTGTCGTACATCCATATCAGCTCTTTAAGGCCCTTGGTATTGCACCTGACTTCTCCTCTCCAGTGACCAGACAAACAGCAGCAGTAACTAACAACCGCAACACAAAGAGTTTCTATATTCCTGATAAACAAGTGAAATATAAACGGAGGAACTGAGTGAGACTGATATTGTATACCTTCTCAGCCAGAAGCACAGATTAGGCTGGGCAGCTGATGCAGCACTGGATGCACAGGTATGTTTTACTTGCAGCACACAAGCTTGGAACCAAATCATCCTTGCTGCAGGTTATTGTAGCTGCAACATATTGCAGCCCACAGGGCACAGACTGTGCGTTTCCCTCTTGTCACTTGTAAAAGTTCCTGTTGCATTTTCTGCCAAGGAGTTCTGGTTCCTACAGCTTCTTTTTTCCTTGTGGAAATAGCAGTGCAGTGGGAACAGTGTGGTTGGAGGTTGCTGTGGGTTCCCTGGGGAAGGGTGGCTGGGAGGGAAGGGGCAGCTTGTCCCCAGCAGCCTTGCTCCCTTCTAGAAGTGGCTCCTCAGGCCTCGCTGTGTTTCCCTACTCCAGCCTGTGATAATGCTGGAGCTAAACAAGGCTGTGAAGTGTGGCAAGGATGTCCTACAGCAGTTGTGTCTCCTGTGATGTCACTGGGCCAAGTCATCAACATATTAGAGGAAAATAATGTTTATTCTTAATAAAAGCCTGCTTGCATTTTAATCTGATTTAATTGTGTTCACACTGAAAGGCACTGGATGTTCCCTTGCTTTGTCCACAGCAGTAAGTTTGAGATGAGACAGTAAGTTACATTAAGACCGTTCCTGTTCAAAAATTCAGTGTATTCCCCAAGAACAATACCACATGTCTGCCATGACAGGGGCAAAACAGAAATGTTTCTAACAGAAAAGGGTAACAGGAAAATTATCAACAAAGGGACAACTGAAAAAAGTGGACATAAAAGTTTGGATATAATAATATGGAAGGTCTGGTATACCCTTCTGAATGAGATTTCAATAGAAGAAATTTGAGAACAACCCTAATTCTAACCCTCTGTTTTATGAACATAGATTTCACTACTGTGTTCTGTAGCATTCTGAATCATCAGATATGCTCCTATAGTTGTCAGCTTAACAGGTCTCTTCATCCATGCATCCTTCTGCCTATGCCTCTCCCACAACCAACTTGCCCTTTGAACTTCACTGGCAGCTTAACCTGGTGAAAATAGGCTTGAGTTCTTGGAGAATTCAGAGCAGAAATGTCTTCTTGGTGCTTTTATATACTATTTGGCAAAGAAGCCCATTGAAGAATTGGAGCCCTAATAGTACTCAGGAAACAGGCATAACAACCTTTCCTCCCTTCCATATAGGTTCATCAGTTTTCTGTAGCTTTTTGTTTCCACCACAACTCACCTGCGTAGAAAACATTCTCTGGAGAGATTGGAAGTGAAGACTTTTACATACAAGTATAACATCACAGTGCTGCTCAGAAAAGGAAAGTAAATACACTAAAGATTCTCTGGTCCTCTTCCCCACCCCCAAACAGCCCTGTGTAACTGATGCTGAGCAGTGCTTCAAAACAGAGAGCTGCCCCAAGGAGCAGGCAGCAACAGGGTATTACCTGGCTGGCTTGTACTGTACAAACAAAGCTCACAGGCTGTAATGGCACCTGAGGGGTCCAGGGGCCTCTTGAACTCTTAGAGTCCCTTCTGGGAGGAGCCAGGAAAGAGGAACCTTGTGCTGTCAGCCAGTCCCTTCTGCAGGAACTGTACTACCCAGGGCCACTGAGAGGCCTTTTGCAATCTTTAAGTCTTTGCACTCTCACTTGATAACAACTCCTATTAGCATCTGTTTATCCAGTTCTTTCACTGCCTATCTGTTTCCCACACTGCCAGGTGATAACCCAAATTCCCCATTCTCACTCATCTCTGGTCCAAGGCTGCTTCCCTGTGAATTGCTGTGACAAATTTCTCCTGATAGTCCTTAGTCTCAGTACTGGGGAAGATCTCTGTCACTGATTCACTACAGAATGAATTCACCCTCTAGAGTTCAAGTAGGGTCAGAAGATGCCTTTTGGACATCAGGTTTGCCTGTTGAGGTGAACAACTGAATCCATCTCAAGGTGAACACTCCAGTTCTGCTTGCACATGTTCTGAGTACCCCTGAAACCTTCCTTGGTGATCTGTGCTGCATCTTATCCAGAGAAGCAAAACAAAGGGAACAGAAAACACCAGGAAGACTCTGCAGAAACTGCCTCAGAGTCAGTACTGCCCAGAGGTAAACTCTGGAGAAACAGGCACTGCTAGTCTTTGAAGTCCCATGGCAGGATCTGCACCAACAAAGCTGACATCCAGAGGAATGTTCTGAAGGATGAGGAGGTGGGAAATGAGGCCCAGTCTTTCCAAGATGCTTGTCAACATGTACAGAAGGTTACTTATTGGAATATTCAAAAGCCCTTAGTTGTATAGGCTTCTGTAAGTGTGCTCTGATACCTGGGCACTGCAGCAGGTACTAAACACTATGGCAGTTAGAATGAGCACTGTGAATATGTGAAAGCAGGGTCAAAATTCCAAAAGCCCCTGTGAAGAAACACCAAGGCAAAATTACATTTTTTTTATTTCTGCCAGAACAGCTCTGTAAATTCAGGAATAAGTTTTTGAAGGAGGATCCAGAAATAAATACATACCTCTAATAACTGCATGGGGTGTAATGGGAAGATTAACAAATACTTATATATAATTTTAGTTACTATATCCAAAGGATGATGCAGAGCAATCATTTGTTTTTATGCTGCTATTAAGGTTGCTGTCCTGCATGGGCAGAACTGAGCAGCCAAACCAGTCCTCTTGTCACAGTCATGTTGAAGTGGTAGGTTTCTACAAACACACTTTTATATTTAGTTATGCCTGCTGTAGCCTCATCAAATGTTAGTGCTCACCATTTCAGCTGCTTCCACTGACAAAGACTTTGAGCTGTTTAATGCACCTGATGCTGATCATTCCTGCCTGGAGTCATGGAGAAATGCATTCGCTAGTCACTGCTTTATTAACTCCTGGGGCATTTTGCTAGAGGCATTCAATGGGCAGAACATCTTTCTTTTTGAGATTAGAAATGATGTGAAATACTTATGAGTTATTAACTTTTTAGCTTTAAATCCGTTTGCTTTGACTTTCTAGAGATTTGCTTCAGGGTTGGAGAAGAATGTTTCCAGGTGAGCCTGATTTGGTTCAGCTAGTTGAGACAGATGCAGCTCATTTGGGGGTGGGAGGGAGAATGGTGAAGGGAGGATAAAAGGCTTTGGAAGGCAGTGTGGAGTCCTTTCTGTTGGGGAAATTTTCTAGTCTTCTGGCTTGGCCCCTGGTTTTCTCCATCTTATTATGCCATCACCTATTCCTCTTAATTGTTTTCTATCTTTTGAGTATTCCCCATCTGCAGATTTGCGTCCCTGCAGCAGCCCTTTAGTTATCCCTGGCAAAGACAGCAAAAGCTTTCTGGGGGGAACTCCTTCAGTCAGGACTCGCCGCTTGCCTCCCCGCCTGGCCTGGTGCTCCATTGACTGGGAGCAGCTCTGTCTCCTGCAGCCCATAGGCTCTGGGGGCTTTGGTTCTGTCTACAAAGCCACCTACCATGGTACAACTGTGGCTGTGAAGCAGGTGAAGAAAAGCAGCAAAAACCGGCTGGCATCGCGACAGAGCTTCTGGGCTGAGCTGAACGTAGCCTGGCTACAGCATGAGAACGTGGTACGTGTGGTGGCTGCCAGCACGTGTGCCCCAACCAGCGAGAACAGCCTGGGCACCATCATCATGGAGTATGTGGGCAGCATCACCCTGCACCATGTGATTTATGGCACTGGAGATGCGTGGAGACAGGGTGAGGATGATGAAGGAGGATGCGGAAGGAAGGCCCTGAGCATGGAAGAGACCGTGTGCTATTCTTGTGACATCATGACTGGCTTAGCCTTTCTCCACTCACAGGACATTGTGCACTTGGACCTGAAGCCTGCAAACATCTTCATCACTGAGCAGGGAGTGTGCAAGATTGGAGACTTTGGGTGCTCCCAGAAACTGGAGGAGGGCTTGTCTCACAGCTCCCATGTTTGCCAGCAAGGGGGCACTTACACACACCGTGCCCCTGAGCTCCTCAAGGGGGAGAGGGTCACTGCCAAAGCAGACATCTACTCGTTTGCCATCACCCTCTGGCAAATCATCATGCGGGAGCAGCCCTACCTGGGAGAGCGGCAGTACGTGCTCTATGCTGTGGTAGCCTACAACTTACGCCCTTCGCTGGCTGCTGCTGTTTTCCACGAGTCACCACTGGGCCAGATACTCCAGAGTATTATTAGCTGCTGCTGGAAAGCCAATGTAGAGGAGCGCCTGAGTGCAGCCCAGCTGCTTCCCAGGCTCAGGGCCCTCAAACAGAGCCTCTAGGAAAACTCTGGACACTTTAAATTTGTTTTGTCAACTTTTCTTTTCCTTAACTCTTCGTCTGAACATAATTAATTTAGCCTCTGTGTGTTCTATAGGTTTTGTTGCTGTTTTTTATATAAAAAAAAAATATAAAAAAAAGAACCAAACTGTTTTGATATAAGAAGACTGTAAATAAAGAGATTTAATAAAACTGTGAGGTTTTACCTTTGGAGAGGATAGATGCAAGGATCAAGACACTGGCAGATAAAACTTCTTCAGGCTGATCTGTTGTGTGCTCTCTTGCTCAGGGAGAAACTGTGGAATGTGATGTGCAAAAATAGCTGGTTTTAAGTGAAGTACAAAAAAAGGGGCTAAGGAGCTGCTTTTGCAAGGTTCTTTATACATAATACCTTTCGGTATTTTCAAAATGTATCACGAATCAATGAATGCAGAAAAATAAATATGGAGTGTCAGTGGGGTTTTTTTCCCTTGTTCTTGGATGTACTTAATTCCAGTAAGTATGCTGCTTTTGATAAGGAAAATGTTTACTGCCCACATACTTCTTGAAACAAGGAAACTTTTTGCCAGTCTAAGGCTATTAAGAGTAAGAAGATACATTAACAACCTGTACTTTTATAAGACCTCCCTGCTACGAGGGAGGTGTTACTCGCAACTTGCTAGTTGGAACACTGTAAACTTTAACATCTGAAGCATTCTAAGAGCATCTTGTGCAGAGTAGAAAGTTAACAGGTTTTTGAGGTACAGGGGGATTTAGAAAAATAAAAAAAATGGGGGAAAGATTAATGGTAAAGGGAGGATTATTTGTGCTTCATAATACATGGGTCAGTATTAGACAAGATACTGGAAGTACTGAAAAGGAAGTTTGCTTAAAGCAGTAATAATGATACTCTGCTGGTACTCAAAGTGTTTGCTATTGAACTATATTCTCTGCACTGCCTATGTCTTATCTACTATCTTTCCTAATCTGGCTGTAATGTGTCTGGGAAAGGAAGTGCTGTAGGCAATGCAGATGACAAAGAGCTCTGATCCATGATTTATCAGAACTGATAATTGTACATCTGAGCCCTTATCAGAGGCAAACTGCTGCAGCTGATATTGCCATTCTGCTCAAAGACTCTGCTTCTTTTTAAGACAGGAGAAAGAGTGATGTTTCAGTCAAATTGTTTTTCTTCTTTACCCTTCCTCCCCCTTGCTTCCATTCTGGAAAAAAAATCCCAAAGGAATTGAGCCAGTTTCCTGATTTCTGACACACATCTGTTCTTAGCCCCGTGAAATCCTGGAAATGAGCAACTATGTGAATTTGAGATGATTCTGTAGGTCTTTATGGTATTTGGGTTGGTAATTGAAATTAATGGTTTATAAAGCATATCTAAGCTTAACTATTTCTTGGCCTTCCGTACCCGTTAAGTGGAACTGTAAAATGCTGGCTGGAATCAAAAAACCTAAGGTGAATCCTGGAAAATATTTCCCATGCTTTCTCTGTCAAAATAATTATGCTACAGAACCAGAACATTTTTTGTGTGTGTTGCATAACTTATTTTAATAAAGAATTTATCTTAAAGTTATTATGATAAGTCAATTACCTTTTGAAATGATTAGCTGAGGGCATCTAGAGATAAAATATTAGATAAAGCCATTGACATGCCTGATCTTAACATGAAGCCTTAAATAAAAGTGCTTCTCCAGTTTTCAAAAGTATATAATAAAAATGGAATTGAAGTTTATTAGGAATTCCTAGATGCTTATGTGTTGTATTTATTTTGCCAACCTAGGTAACTTGTTGCTTATACTGCTAGAAAACTGCTATTTTTTCTTTAATGATCCTTCAGCATCAACAAGTGCTACTTGAGTCTCTGTGAAAAATCAAGCACCCTTCAACTTCTCTGTTGTACTTGACAGAATGATACTGGATGGCCAAGACCTACTCTTGAAGTATAATCAGCTCTGCAGATGTCTCTGTCAGTTTTTCAGGGTTCTTTTCTGATAGCGAGAGAGAGAGAACTCTGCACAGCATTCAAGATACAGGCACATCACACTGCTGTAATAATGGTGGTCTCTAGTAAATTCTAAGGTTTGATTTGTTTTGAGGGTTTTTTGATTGCTATTGAGCTCTGAGTTAATACTAATCAAGAAACATCTCAACCCTAATAGCTCAGAATCCCTGGTTCTATGTGATGGGGATAATTTTACCTTTTGCTTCACTTTATACGCATATACCTTGAATTTTTTTTCTGCCAGTTGGCCCTTGCAATTAATGTCTGAAATAACTCCACTATCAACAAATTTATCTTATGGCTCACTCTCTTGCATGTCATTTATGGATGTGCTGGGCAGCACAAGATCCCCTGAAACATCAGTGGGCACTTTCTCTAGCTAAGAGAACTGACACTTTACTTCTTACCTCTTGTGCCTATCTTATGACATATCCAGAGCAGGATTTTCTCTCCTAAATGTGGCTGCTTAATACCTTTCAAAAGCTTGCAGGGAAGGATTTTTCAAATACCTTTGGAAACCCTCAGGGAACACATCAATCAGTGCTTTATCTGCATGCTGTCAGTGCTCCTAAAGAATTCTAATACAATCCAACACAATTGTGAAGTGCAACTCCTTCCAACGAAAGCAATATTGGCTCCTTCTAAACAAATCATGTCTGTGTGTCTGTTATTTCCTTTAATATAGAATCTGCTAATGTATCTTGTACAGATATCAATCATGTAATCAGAAAGCTTATTTTTTAAAGACTTCCTTTGGATATGATCCTGAAGAGGAGGGGCCAAGGACACCTGGCTGATTTTCAAGGATTGCCTTCTACAAGCTCAAGATTCAGCCCCCATAAGCAGGAAATCAGGCAAAGGTGGCAGGATGCCCCCAGGGATAAACAAGGACCTCCTGATTAAACTCAAATGTAAATAATAAATATACAAGAGTTGAGAGACCAGTGGGGAGTCCGAAGCAAGGAATACTTACTGTTGGTAAAGAAGCATGAGGTTAGGGAATGTTGAAACAAGACTTACAGAAGTTCAGAGGACCTGATGGGATGCACTCACAAATGCTGACAGAGCTTGCCAATGTCATTGTGGGGCAACTCTTGACTATCTTTGAAAGGTCGTGTGGTCAGGAGAGATTCCTGAGGTCTGGAAGACAACAAATCTAACTCATGTCTGCAAGACGGCCAAAAAGGAGGATGTGAAAAATTACGTGCCAGTCAGCCTCACCTAAACCCCTAGGAAACTGGTGGAACAAACCATTCTGGAAATCACTGCCAAATAAATGAGGGACGAAAAGGTGTTTGGGGGATGATTGGGGATTTGTGAAGAGGAAATCATGCTTGATCAACCTAGTAGCCTTCTGCAATGAGATTACTGGCTGCTGCAGAACAGTGGCTGTTGCTTATCTTGACTTCAGTGAGGTTTTTGGGCCTGTTTCCCATTACATTCTCATAAAGAAACCGATGAAGCACTGACTAGATAGTGGAAACTGAAAATTAGCTGAGCTGCTGGGCTCGGAGAGTTGTGATTAATGGCATTAAGTCCAGTGGGAGACCAGTCACTAGTGGTGCATTCCAGAGATCCATACTGGACACAGTGCAGGTTAACACCTCTATTTAAGCCCTGGATGATGGGATGGTGCACCCTCTGCAAGTTTGCAGTTGATACAGAATTGGATGGGAACAGTCAATATCTTGGATGGTTTGTGCTGGTGTTCAGAGAGATCTTATCAAGCTGGAGAAATCCACTGATGGGAACCGATGCAGGGGGCTGGGGGCAAACCGCTTGGAAAGAGGCTTTGCATGGACCTGGGGCTGCTGGCAGACACCAGGCTGAACCTGAGCAAGCAATGCACCCTTGTGGCAAAGGCGGCCAACAGCATCTGTGGTGCGCTCCAAAGGGTGTTGCCAGCTCTTCCGGAGCACTGCTAGAAGAGGTTATTATTCCCTGCTGCTCACTCAGCCCTGGTGAGACACGTCTGGAGTTCTCTGGTCAGCCCAGGACTCTGCCAGAACAAGAAAGTCATAGATGTGCTCGACTAGGAGTGCACAAAGGGCCATTAAGTTGATTACAGGAATTTTATCTTCTGTATTAATCTTCATGCTCTTATTAGTATCTTTGGTTCCCAAATAGAAATATCAACAGATATTTCAAAATAGGTTTTTAAAAAAGCAAGCATAAGCTACAATTCTGATGCTACTCTCTTTATTTGGAGGTGGGGTGAAGTATTCCAGGTAAACATATTTGATAATTAAGTGGGGAACCTCTATCTGTTCCTCTTTCCTTCTGGCTTCCCATCATCCAGAAGCTTCTGTAACCCTGGTCCTGGCTTGTTCTGTTGTTTGCTTCTCTTTCCTTGGAGGCTTTTTTTTTTTCTTTTCCCCCCCCAGTATTATGCTTTATCTCAACACAGAAAGAAAGCGGTAACAACATCACTATCTTCAAATAATAAAAATACTGTATTACTTGGAGGTGGGCATATCCTCAGTACAGAATTAGGATGGGAAGCACGAAAATGTAAGTGTGAAGATGTATGGGTTGTTTCTGAATTCTGTGGTAAGACATACCGCAGCAAAGAAAACAAAGACTGTTTTACACAATATAACACAAATATTTGTACATTCAATGGGAGTCAAGTGGATGCTTATTATTTGACTTGTATATCCACTTTTGCAGCATTAGCATTTGTGTTCATGAATTTATCCACTAGAACAAAGATGAAAATCAGGACAGAAAATGAACGGTTATTTTTAAAATTAACTGTATGTGGAAAATTTTACGTATACTTTATTTTAGCCATTTATCTGCTGCAAATACCTTCATGAAGCACTCAAAGAGCCTCTTTCTATGCTTCAGTTAACCCAGCTGCCAAATATTTGTCTGCCTGTCAAATGAAAAGCCTTAAAACCAGTTAAAGAAGGAAAATGGAACAAAAAAGTCTACTGGCATCTATCCCAGTCTGCCATCAGCTAAAAGGATGCCATGGGACAGTCTGACAGTAGAGGAACCACCATCCGCCCCTGGACTTCTCCAAGCGTGAGGCTGAGTTTTGCTTTCAACCCAGCCTGAGGTTCAATAGCCCAA